ATGTATAAAAAATGCACTGTTTTGCAGTCTCAGATTGTTAGGAGAAAACAAAGGGTTCAGGGTCTGCAGGTCAGCCAAGCAGAGCTGTCTGCATAGATGATGCCAGCTCAGGAAAAAAGAGTTCCATCTCTGGTCCATTCAGGAGGAAAGGGTGAGCCTGGTTCCACCATTTCTGGCCTACTCCTCACTCAAGGACCCTACACAGAAGAATCTTGCCAAAGGAAGAAAAGAAGGACCAGCCAATCTCTGCCACACATCTGCATCATAGAACCAGTATCCATAAGCAGAGGTCATTTCCTTATCTGGCCATGAGCCCCTTTGGGGGCAGGGCTTGGGAGTTGGATACGGGAGGGTCACCTAGGGACCTGGACCACAACAGTTATAGCCACCATGTTCCCTCCAGCTGGAGAATGCTCATTTCCTAGCAGCTGTAGACTGGGCTACCTCTCAGGCCTTTTTTGAGGGTGGGCCTGCGTTTGGGGGAACAGAGAACATTGTAACTGAGCAAATTTGGTCTGGCCATGCTTAGACTGTCCTCTTTTGGCACTGCAGTGAAGTTGTTCAGGGGGTGGGGGAAGGACATCTCTGTTCTATGACTTCACCATGGGGTTCTTGATCTTTGTGGTTAGAGCCATGCCAGTGTCCATTCCAGGATCACAGCATCTCATTGTGCTGTTTTAGCAAAGACTGAATGCAGCTGGCATCTCCCCTTTCTCATTCCACACAAGGGAAAACTTATAAGTCATTCAATCCCAGCGTCACTGCTTACCTAACTGTATGATCCTGCACAGGTTTCTTAACCTCATGGGCAGTTGTGATCGTGATGTGTAGCCTGGGGCCTGGGCTACAGTCAGGACAGGAAGTGCTGTTGCTATTCAGTCTTTCCACCTTACCCTAGAGTCTATAGACACCTTCCCGTAATATTCTGGCTAGGAGCTGTCAGGACTTGTATAGACTATACATACAAACCCAGATGATTGGCATTTGTTGATACAGGAATGTTGCACATAGCAAGAAGGTGGCTGTTGGTAACTCCAGCCACACAGGATGCAATTGATAACTTGTAATTTCGTTTTTGGAAAAGCCTTCTGATCGCCTAACAGCTGTCAGAGCACTAGGGTGTCTCCAGGTACCTCACCACTGGACATTGCCTGGTAAACCACTCTTTTACACCTGTGAGCTGTGCTTACCAATCCTCAGCAAGGAATGCCTCCCAGTCTTGACCTTAAGAGCCACTGCTTTACTTTAACAAGCAGCTTGGATGTTGCTGGCACCAAGGACTGCAGTCTGTGCTGGAGGAACTGCTGTGGCAAGCTGTTCCTTTCTGCAGGGGCCTGGGTAAGGCCAGCATCAGCTTGGTGCACTGTCCACACACATGTGCTGCTAGGAGTGTCCCTCCTTGTGTTCTCAACCTTTAAAACTCCACCTCAGATGCTGCCTTGGCTGTGAAACTTTTCCACCTTGGGGCTACCATAGCTCTTTGTACATCTCTCTCTAATACTTTGTAGTTCCCTCCTGGGTCCTCATTCTTGTCTGAGTTTCATCCTTCTTTTATCCTGTGTCACCATTTACTGATTGAACTGGGGTCACCTCCCAGGGCCCTAACCTGTCCTGTCACCATATGCCTCACAGTTGGCTTGGGTTTGAGGAAGGAGGAGATCTTGATAACCTCTGTTGGGTCCAGGTCCACTGTACCTTCATGCCCAGCATTCTGGGCCTCTTGTCCAGCAGCACCATCAGCATCAACAGTGGGGTGAGTCTAAGATGACTGAAAATATATTAAGTTCTAGATCACTCTTCCGTTAAACATTGAGTTTAATGGCCTCTTTCAGTAGCTCAGACAATTGGGAATTGTGTGACTGTTTTTTACTCTTGTGATACATTTTTGGGTATGTGACTTTTTTGTGTTTTAGATTTTATTTACTTATTTATTATTTGTGTATGAGTATATATAAGTGCATACTTGAGCATGTGTGGTGGCCAGAGGGCAACTTGCATGAATTAGTTCTCTCGTTCTACCATGTGGGTCCCAGGGATCAAACTCAGGTCCTATGAGGCTTGGCAGTAGGCGCTTTTACTTTCTGAGCCATTTCACTAGCCAGTAATACATTTTTAAATTTTCATTATTTTTAATTATGTATATGTGGAGAGTATGTGTACATGTGTTACGAGCAGCTGCCTGGCATGGGTGCTAGGAATCGAATCAGGTCCTCTACAAGAGCAGCAAGCACTCTTAAACACTGAACCATTGCTGCAGCCCCCGGAATGCATTTTTTTTCATTGAGTGCAATAAAATTGCATTGGGCACTGGAGAGATGAATTTGAAAAATGTAGCCAGGGAAGCTCAGGATTCTGGTGACATTCACATGAGGTTGAAAGGCAGGGACTCAGCTGAGCACCCACCCCACCCCTGTATCCCAACACCTGGCCTTGGTCTGGCTGCAGTCCACCCATTTGCTGAGTGAGTGGGGCTCTGGGGAGGCCTCGTGCCTGCCTAGGCTGGAAACTGTCACACAGTAGTTTTGCAGGCTATGGCAGGAACCAAAGGATGATAGCTTTGGAGCTTCAGAAAAACTGGCTTGTGAGTGACTTCGTGTGTACCATAGCTATAGACACAGTGACATCTGAAAAAGATTCCTCTGAGCTAGTCTTTTTGGCACATTCACCCAAGTCAAGCCCAAACAAAAGGCTGTTGATGACATTTCTTCTGGATAAGTCATGAAAACTTCACACTGAGGGGAGCATTTTCTGCTTCTGTAGTTCAGAAAACATAAAGAATGAAGATCAAGCCAGGTGTGGTGGTGCATGTCTTTAATCCCAGCACTCAGGAGGCAGAGGCAGGAGGATCTCTGTGAGTTCAAGGCCAGCCTGGTCTATATAGTGAGTTCCAGGACAGCTGGGGCTACAGGGAGACCCTGTCTCAAAAAGACAAAAAAAAAAAAAAAAAAAAAAAAAAAAAAAAAAAAGAAGAAGAAGAAGATCAAGTCAGGCAAGGTGGCACATGCCTGTGATCCCAGCACTCAGGAGGCTGACACAGGAGGAACTCCATGAGTTTGAGGCCAACGTGGGCTACATTGTGAGCTCTAGACCAGGTAGAGGTACATAGCAAACCCTGTCTGACAAAACCAAAAGAATAGGAAAAGCAGGAAGAGGAAGAAGAAGAAGAGGAAGGGGCGGGAGAAAGAAGAATGGCTTGGGGAGTGTGGCTCCATCATGAAGCTAGTGTTGCCCCCTAGCATTGGACATGTCTACACATGGGCTTAATCCTGGGAGTTCCCCGCAGAACAGGCATTCAGGACATAAAAGAAAGTTTCCTCCATATCCTCCGTTTCTGGGGGCTAGAACTTAACCTTTATCCAGATCTGCACCTCCCAGAATGTGATCTTGACCTTGTCCATGGTGACTCCTCACTCTACTCCTCAACGCTAGGGAGCTTAGGTAGAGACTACCTCCTTCCCAGCCCCTGGCACAAGTTCTCTGCCAAGCCCTATACAGAGGAGAGGGGAGGGGAGGAGGAGGAGGAAGAGGAAGAAAAGGAGGAAGGGGAAAGAAAGAGAGGTGAGAGAGAGAGAGAGAATGAATGAGAATCCTGGGTTTCTACTCTATTGCATGGCCCCAGAGAATGAGCCCACCCCACCCCAGGCTCCGTTCATTGGCACAGTGCTATCTGAGACTCTACCATTTGCAGTCTTGAGAAACAACAGAGCAGATGCTCTGAGATGCTCTCAGCAGCTCAACTGACCCAACCCCCTGAACCAGCCAGATGGCCCTGCCCACCCTTCCGCCCTCCCACAGCCCAGAAAGGTATGTACCCTAGCAGCCCACTGATCAGCTTAGTTAGCCGGCTCACAGAGATCCCTGAACAAGTCATATGTCCTCATCCACCTTCCTGTTGCCCTCAAAGTACCCAGGAAGTCCTGCAGACCCATCCTCAGCCCCTAAAAGCAGTCAATTCTGAGCAGTTTGACCTGCTGAGGGCTTCAGGAAGCAGCCAGGTGTCCCTATTTGTAGATCCATGACCCTGAACAACCCCACCCACTCACTCCTGCCCTGAGAAGGCAGCCAGGCAGCCTATCCTGAGTGATTCAGCCCCACTCAGGTTCCCCAGAAGCAGCTCCCAAAGTCGTTGAGCAGCCTGTTAGCAGAAGTTCAGCCGGGCCATGTTTGGCACTGGGAAACATCTAGGCCAGCCTACCTTGGGCAAGTTAGTCCCCAGAGCCCTGGAAAGTCACCTGTCAAGCCTCTGCACCCTGACAAGCACTCCTATTGATCCACTAGGCAAACCTGATCCCTCCATAGCCCTCAGACCAGATAGGCACCTAGCCTAACCAGCAGGATGACAGTTCATGGTATAAAAAGAAATCTAGCTGGGGCTGGAGAGATGGCTCAGCAGTTAAGAGCACTAACTGCTCTTGCAGAGGACCCGGGTTTGATTCCCAGCACCCACATGGCGGCTGCGAACTGTCCTTAACTCCAGTTCCAGGGGAATCTGAAGCCCTCTTCTGACCTCCGCGGCACGAGTGCACTCATATACATTGCAGGCATTACACTCATACACATAAAATAAAAATAATAATTTTTTTTTTA